GACTTGACAGGCTCCTACAACAAGAGGGAGAGACTTGACAGGCTCCTACAACAAGAGGAAGAGACTTGACAGGCTCCCACAACAAGAGGAAGAGACTTGACAGGCTCCTACAACAAGAGGAAGAGACCTTACAGGCTCCTACAACAAGAGGAAGAGACTTGACAGGCTCCCACAACAAGAGGAAGAGACTTGACAGGCTCCTACAACAAGAGGGAGAGACTTGACAGGCTCCCACAACAAGAGGAAGAGACTTGACAGGCTCCTACAACAAGAGGGAGAGACTTGACAGGCTCCCACAACAAGAGGAAGAGACTTGACAGGCTCCTACAACAAGAGGGAGAGACTTGACAGGCTCCCACAACAAGAGGAAGAGACTTGACAGGCTCCTACAACAAGAGGGAGAGACTTGACAGGCTCCCACAACAAGAGGAAGAGACTTGACAGGCTCCTACAACAAGAGGAAGAGACTTGACAGGCTCCTACAACAAGAGGAAGAGACTTGACAGGCTCCCACAACAAGAGTGAGAGACCTGACAGGCTCCTACAACAAGAGGAAGAGACTTGACAGGCTCCTACAACAAGAGTGAGAGACCTGACAGGCTCCTACAACAAGAGGAAGAGACTTGACAGGCTCCTACAACAAGACGGAGAGACCTGACAGGCTCCTACAACAAGAGGAAGAGACTTGACAGGCTCCTACAACAAGAGGGAGAGACCTGACAGGCTCCCACAACAAGAGGAAGAGACTTGACAGGCTCCTACAACAAGAGGAAGAGACTTGACAGGCTCCTACAACAAGAGGGAGAGACCTGACAGGCTCCCACAACAAGAGGAAGAGACTTGACAGGCTCCTACAACAAGAGGGAGAGACCTGACAGGCTCCCACAACAAGAGGAAGAGACTTGACAGGCTCCTACAACAAGAGGAAGAGACTTGACAGGCTCCTACAACAAGAGGAAGAGACTTGACAGGCTCACATTGCAGAGTTCATTATTTACGGTCCCGATAAAAAAACAATTAAATTTCCACAACAAAGGTTAAAAAGAAAAAAAAATATCCGGCGAAATGAAATATCAAAAGGGAAATCTAACACAATGCTCGACCCTTGTCATGCAACACAATGCTCGACCCTTGTCATGCAACACAATGCTCGACCCTTGTCATGCAACACAATGCTCGACCCTTGTCATGCAACACAATGCTCGACCCTTGTCATGCAACACAATGCTCGACCCTTGTCATGCAACACAATGCTCGACCCTTGTCATGCAACACAATGCTCGACCCTTGTCATGCAACACAATGCTCGACCCTTGTCATGCAACACAATGCTCGACCCTTGTCATGCAACACAATGCTCGACCCTTGTCATGCAACACAATGTTCGACCCTTGTCATGCAAATAAAACTGAGCAGCAAGGATGACACAGCAAGCGGACTGAAGTCGTCACTGACAGACACTGACGCCTGCGGTCTCGTACGTCTATATACCAACATAAAAAAACAAACATCACACTCATTTGATCAGGCTCATAGCTTTTCCCTTCGTACATAAGATACTATAAAGCGCTGGAGAGCTCTAAGAGAACGGTCACTTGTAGAAGGAATGCTAACCGGAGCAGAAGTGTACAGGAGGGAGGGAATTATCAGAGGAAAAGCGCCATGCCATTGCGACTATATAGCACTTGGAAGGGATCAGGATAAGGATTTGGGATGGGAGGGGAAGGGGGAGGGGTAGGAATGGTGCCCCAACCACTTGGACGGTCGGGGATTGAACGCCGATCTGTATGAAGCGAGACCGTCGCTCTACCGTCTAGTCCAGCTTTCTCTTCTTTAAAAAAAAAGTGTACAGGATAAGTCAAGGAACAGTGTAAAGAGGTGGATGGATGCCATAGATCCAGACGGGATCACACCATGGATATGTTACAGCACACAACTGCATCACTGTGAAGACCCAATGCTATGTTTTAAAACTAGAAAGATGGGAATTTCTAGTACTCAGCTTCCACCTGTGTCCCCTTGAGACAGAGGGGTACAGAGACAAAGATAGAGAGGTACAGAGGAACATAGAGGTCATATGACAGGTCACAGACAGAAAGGTACAGAGACAGAGGCACCGAGAGCCACCATACTGGTCACGTGGTGCCAGACAGTGCCGTGGGAAGGGAGAACTGGACAGTCACCGTTGCGGCAATCGGCTACTGGACAGCGTCATGGGGACAGAGGCTTCTCTGTATTCTGTCTCAGACTACATTTATACTCCGAGAATAAATAACTGGTTTATACTTTCTCTTGGGAAAGTGGTTGTGTCTCTGGACTAGTTGTATAATCCCTGCAAACACACAACTCGTACTCACCTAGTTGTGCTTGCGGGGGTTGAGCTCCGGCTCTTTGGTCCCGCCTCTCAACTATCCATCAACTTGTGTACAGATTCCTGAGCCTATTGAGCTCTATCAATCTACATTTGAAACTGTGTATGGCGTCAACCTTCTTCCACATCATTGTCTAATGCATTCCAGCTACCCTGACACTGAACAAATTATTTCTAATATCTCTATAGCTCATTTGGGTATTTAGTTGTGTTTCCCTTGTTCGTGTTCGACCCCATGCTAAATAGTTCGTCTTTGTCCACAATGTCATTTCCTTTGAGAATTTTGTAGGTGTTGATCATGTCTCCCCTAACTCTTCTGTCTTCCAGGGACGTAAGGTTTAGTTTGCGTAACCTTTCCTCGTAACTCATACCTCTCAGTTCTGGGACGAGTCTGGTGGCATACCTTAGAATCTTCTCTAATTTCTTCTTGTAATTTACCTAGGTATGGACTCCAGGCTGGAGCTGCATACTCCAGGAATGGTCAGACATAAGTTGTATATAAGGATCTGAATGATTTCCTATACTAGTTTTTAAAACCAGTTTTTGTGTTGGCCAATCTAGCATATGCCGCTGATGAAATTCTTTGGATGTGGGCTTTTGAGGACAGGTTCGGTGTGATATCAACCTCCAGATCTTTTATATACTTGACTCTTGCAGGATTTCAGCTCCCAGATGGTACCTTGTGTTTAGCCTCCCGCTGCCTTCGCCTAATTTCATTACTTTACACTTTCATGATTTAAACTTTAGTAGTCATTTTCTAGACCATTTCTCCAGTTTGTCCTTGTCCAGGTCGCCCTGTAATCTCTGTCTATCTTTATCTGTCTTGATTCTTCTCATAATTTGTGCATCACAGCAAACATTGAGAGGAACGAGTTTATACCTTCTGGAAGATCGTTTACAAATATCAGAAACAAGAGGATGGGTCCAAATAGAGAGCCCTGTGGTACTTCGCTGGTAACATCTCTCCACTCTGAAATCTCACCCCCTCACAGCTGTCTTTTGTTGCTTAGGTACTTTCTTTTCCAAAGGAAAACCTTCCCTCCCACTCCTGCCTGCATTTCCAGCTTGCGCACTAGTCTCTTGTGTGGTACTGTGTCAAAGGCTTTTTGGCAGTCTAGCCAGATTTTTGTCGCCTGGTCGTAGAATTCAATTAATCTTATGAGGCAAGATTTACCATCCCTGAACCCAGGACGATGATGTGTTACAAAGTTCTTTCGCTCCAAATGTTTTACTAGTTTTTTTCCGCACAACCTTTTCCATCACCAATCACAGTAAGCAAGTTAGGGACACTGGCCTAACTTTTGCCTTCAGTGCCTCATGTCTGTCGATATACAAGAATCCCGATTCTTGTATATCAGGATTACATTAGCCGTCTTCCATATTTGTGGCAGTTCTCCTGTTACCAATGATTTCTTATACACAGGTGTGTATGAGTATGTGTGTGTATGTGTATTTCCTATTTGTATCTGCAGAATTGAGCTATTAGCTCTTGGAATCCGCCATTCAAACCAATTTATTTTTCCTCTGTTATGTCTACTAAATATATTTCCCTTACACACACACACTCACACATTCCCAGAAAGTAGCCCGTAGCAGCTGTCTAACTCTCAGGTACCTATTTACTGCTAGGTGAACAGGTGGATTCGGGTGAAAGAAACTCAGCCCATTTGTTTCTGCCTCTGCCGGGGATCGAACCCGGGCCCTTAAGACTACGACCCGAGAGCACTGTCCACTCAGCCGCGAGACCCCTAGTGTGCGAGTGTGTGTATTCACCTAGTTGTATTCACTTAGTTGTGCTTGCAAGGGTTAAGCTCTGCTCTTTCGGCCCGCCTCTCAACTGTCAATCAACTGTTACTAACTAATTTTTTTTTTCTCTCACCCCACACACACACACTCAGGAAGCAGTCCGTAACAGCTGTGTAACTCCCAGGTACCAAATAACTGCTAGGTAACAGGGACATCAGAGTGAAAAAAACTCTGCCTATTTGTCTCTGCCGGTGCCGGGAATCGAACCCGGGCCACAGGATTACGAGTCCTGCGCGCTGTCTACTCAGCTACCAGACCCCTGTGTGCATGTGTGTGTGTGTGTGTGTGTGTGTGTGTGTGTGTGTGTACTTTTATATACAAGTTACGAAAATGTCATGATACCGTCATGGACACCAGGATACTAGAGTTTAGGTAAGTACTAGCTTCTCCAGTAAGTCTATGGTTACATGATCCAGGAAGGATTGCGCCTTCAACTTGTAAATCCGGTAAGCTTCTTAAAAAAAAAAAAAATCTTCGGCAATTACAAAAAAAAAAAAAAAAAAAATGTACCATTTCATAGATATGTTATCAGTAGTGCATTTACACAGTTATGGTTTTGTCTTATTTGCATTTACACAGTTATGGTTTTGTCTTATTTGCATTTACACAGTTATGGTTTTGTCTTATTTGCATTTACACAGTTATGGTTTTGTCTTATTTGCATTTACACAGTTATGGTTTTGTCTTATTTGCATTTACACAGTTATGGTTTTGTCTTATTTGCATTTACACAGTTATGGTTTTGTCTTATTTGCATTTACACAGTTATGGTTTTGTCTTATTTGCATTTACACAGTTATGGTTTTGTCTTATTTCAGGTACGTGGAGCCAGACACCGGACAGAGGTCCTACAGGTTCCTGGTCCCCATGGACGGCTGCGGCACCGGCGCCACTGAAGAGGACGACACCGTTGTCTCTAATGTCGTCATATTTCAGATGGACTCCGCTGTACAGGTGATACGCCATACACGTTTTACATGGACGGGGGCTTTTTCTGTCACCAAATGCCCCCCCCCCCTGTTTATCTTTAGCAGTAAATTTAGAGTTCAGTCAGCTTGTTGTGGGGCGGTAAATAGGTACCTGGGAGTTTAGTCGGCTTGTTGTGGGGCGGTAAATAGGTACCTGGGAGTTTAGTCGGCTTGTTGTGGGGCGGTAAATAGGTACCTGGGAGTTTAGTCGGCTTGTTGTGGGGCGGTAAATAGGTACCTGGGAGTTTAGTTAGTTTGATGTGGGGTTGAATCCTCTGGAAGGTCGTCCGTAGTTCTTCCTTTGAGGGGTAACCTCGGTACTCCATCCAAAGTATATATATATATATATATATATATATATATATATATATATATATATATATATATATATATATATATATATATATATATATATATATATATATATTTTCACTGCCTGCCTATCCTCGACAAAATGAATTATATTCATATACATATGAATATAATTCATATACATATTGAATATAATCTATACGCATGTATATTCAATGCTTCATTGGCTATGACTGCGTTCAATATTGATTATTTTTTCTTTAGGGTTTCTAACCCCCCCACCCTCTGTCAAGTGCTCTTGCACCTTGGTTTAATTGGAAGAGGATTTTTCCAATTACCATATTTGTTCAAGGTTGGCTAAATAAACAAAAATTAATTATATAATGTATTATACTTATTATATGGTATATATAATCAGGGCATGCACCGCAATCTTACTGATTAATCTGCCAGTTTATCAGAACAAACCTTTCTTGTAAATTAACTAATCTATTTCGTCCATCGTTCTGACGTTAGGCAGAACAAAAATAGTCAGATTTGCACGTAACCTTGCCAAGAGGCCTGCACTTGTATATGTAAGTTTAATACACACAATGGAAAGGCATGAAGATAATGGTAAAAACATTGTAGTCTCACACCTAACCAATTTTATGTCTTGTCACGGCGTCTGCAGGAAGTGTGGGACACAGCTAAGAAGCTATCGTGTGTTTGGACGAATAAATACAGTAAAGCTGTTAATTTCAAACCATTGCAAGTGTCTATGTTGGATGTGGTCCAGACTCGCTTCGAGGGAGACGACCTCAAGTGCTGGATGGATATTCAACGAGGCACCTACCCCAATGTAAGTATTTTCTCCTAATCCTATGGGAGTATACTCACTCCTACTTCCTTGGGAGTATACTAACTCCTATTTCCCTGGGAGTACTTTTATCCCCATGGAAGTACTCGCTCCTACCTCCAAGGGAGTACTTCCACCAACCTCAATGGACATAATCTCTATTTTTTTCCAAATATTTTACCTACTGTTTCCCTCTAATCCTCTGCTATGAGTTATAAAAGTCTGAAATGAACAACAATTTCAATGTGCTAGGAAATAAGGTAGACGCAACTTGATATAAGGAAATGTCTCTTGAATCCTATGCAAAGGCCACATGCCTTCAAAATATATTACAAATATATCAGTGGACATCATGGCTATCTTACATGCATGGGACGCATGTAATTAACCATAGTACGCTTGTCCCAAGTTGAGTGAGTACATTATAACTATCCTTGAGGCAATTCCCGCTCTACGAGTTTCATTTTGTAACGCGGCCTCAACAGACCCAGCCTATGGACGGTATTCTTCGCATCGGCGAGCCTCTGACGGTAATGGTGTATCTTAAGAACGACGACAAACGCCTGGACGTGGCAGTGCGCGACTGCTGGGCCTACGGCGAGCCGGAGTTCGAGGACCCAGATACACCGAAGCTCCAGCTGACGTCCAGTGATGGCTGCCCAACGTGAGTCTCTCTCATGATTAACTAATGCTCAGTTTACAATTAAAAAATACAACATATGATCCCCCTCCCCCTCGAGAAAATGCAAATAATAATTATTCCAATTGTTTCATATTCGAAGGAGAATGAAGCTGATGCACTTCTGGTCTCGAACCCACGACACCTTCGACACCGGCGCCTCCCTCATCACCTACACCAACATGTCCGCCTTCAAGTTCCCGGATCGCATGCAGGTGTTCCTCACCTGCAACGTACAGGTGAGCAAATGACTTCTGACGCAGAGTTATATGAGCGATCAAAATGGCTTTCTTGTTTGTTTAGAAGTTATGATTTGGTGTAGTTAAAGCGCCGCTCAATATTATGAGCTTGAATGTTCTTAGGCAATTTTGATTCTTAAGTACATATATGGGCAGAGGTGAGCATAGACAATACATAGGCACGAAGAGAAGCAACAATAATGCAAATAGGCATTAGGAGAGTAACAGTTATACAGATAGGCACAAGACGCAATAATAAAGTATTGACACTGGAAATAAAGTAAATATGCATTGGAAAAAAACACAATAATGCAGATAGGCACCGCGAAGAGAAGCGAGATAAATGCTGATAGGTATGAGAAGAAGCAAAAGTATTATAGATAGACACAAGAAGACGCAACAATAATGCAGATAGGTACAAGTAGAAGAAGCAATACCTCACAATACTACACATGACGAATACACTGGTGACATTCTTGAACGATGTATAAAGTAAATCAAATATTTAATCATAACCAAGAAGCGCTAAGTGCATCAAGCAGTGATGCAGATACGAAATCAATTATTTCCACTGATGAAAACAATTAAATAAAACATCAGGAATAAACAAACTCTAAAGTTTCAGAGATTAAATTATAGCGCTAGACACAAAATCATATATATGACATGCGCGGTTTCGGTTTTGTCACTGAAAGCATATATATATGATTTGCGCGATTTAAGGGTTAAGACTATGAAAGATTAGTTATAATGTGATATTATAATAATCAAAATGATTACTATATTAATTATGATTGATTTAAAACTAGAGTAACATCGAAGTATTAAGTTACCTTTAGCTACTTGTAATGTTTTCTAGACGTTAACATTAACAAAAACTATTTTAAATACTTTAGATTTGCATAGAGCACTGTGAGGACCGCTGCGAAGGAGAGCCATCTGAGCCAGTAACCTTCCGTGAGATCTTTAAGATTACAACGCCCCTAACACCAACGCGACCACCACCACCACCACCTTACTGCCGGCCTGGCTCTAAGGATCCCCGCTGTCGTCCAAGTACACACAAACCCTTCTGTGCACCAGGGTCGACTGATCCAGCCTGTAGACCTATAAGTACCACTAAACCTAAATGCTATCCAGGATCAAAAGACCCAGAATGCAGACCACCAATTGTGAGTCCTCCAGGAGTTCGCCCGCCGCCCGTTCAAGAACCAGTTTGTGTACCGGGATCCGGAGACCCGCGGTGCCCTCAACCAACGGGTCAACCATGCAGGCCAGGATCTTTAGACCCCCGCTGCCGTAAGCCTCCTACTACTCCAGTTTGCTTCCCTGGTTCAAGAGATCCACATTGTCTGAAGCCAACCACGCCACGACCTACCACGACATTTATTTGCGTACCAGGATCTAAAGACCCACGATGTCCTCAAGTTACTACACCTCGCATACCGACATGTTATCCTGGATCATTGGATCCACGGTGTCCTCAGCCAACTACACCACGACCAACTCGACCGACCACACCCTTTACCTGCCGACCAGGATCTAAAGACCCACGGTGTCCTCAACTAACTACGCCCCGTCCACCGACTTGCTATCCTGGATCACTGGATCCAAGGTGTCCTCAACCGACTACACCACGACCAACTCGACCGACCACACCCTTCACCTGCCGACCAGGATCCAAAGACCCACGGTGTCCTCAAGTTACGACACCCCGTGAACCGACTTGTTATCCGGGATCACTGGATCCAAGGTGTCCTCAACCGACTACACCACGACCAACTCGACCGACCACACCCTTCACCTGCCGACCAGGATCTAAAGACCCACGGTGTCCACAACTAACTACGCCCCGTCCACCGACTTGTTATCCTGGATCACTGGATCCAAGGTGTCCTCAACCGACCACCCCGAAGCCCATTTTTCCACCAACCACACCCTTCACCTGCCGACCAGGATCCAAAGACCCACGGTGTCCTCAACCTACTCCACCGACTTGCTATCCTGGATCACCGGATCCAAGGTGTTCTAAACCAACTACACCACGACCAACTCCACCAACCACACCCTTCACCTGCCGACCAGGATCCAAAGACCCACGGTGTCCTCAACCTACTCCACCGACTTGCTATCCTGGATCACCGGATCCAAGGTGTCCTCAACCTACTCCATCCCGTCCACTGACTTGCTATCCCGGATCACCAGATCCAAGGTGTCCTAAACCAACTACACCACAACCAACTCCACCAACCACACCCTTCACCTGCCGACCAGGATCAAAAGACCCACGGTGTCCTCAACCTACTCCACCGACTTGCTATCCTGGATCACCGGATCCAAGGTGTCCTCAACCAACTACACCACGACCAACTCCACCAACCACACCCTTCACCTGCCGACCAGGATCAAAAGACCCACGGTGTCCTCAACCTACTCCACCCCGTCCACCGACTTGCTATCCTGGATCTACGGATCCACGATGTCCTAAACCAACTACACCACGACCAACTCCACCAACCACACCCTTCACCTGCCGACCAGGATCCAAAGACCCACGGTGTCCTCAACCTACTCCACCGACTTGCTATCCTGGCTCACTAGATCCAAGGTGTCCTCAACCAACTACACCACGACCAACTCCACCAACCACACCCTTCACCTGCCGACCAGGATCAAAAGACCCACGGTGTCCTCAACCTACTACACCCCGTCCACCGACTTGCTATCCTGGATCACTAGATCCAAGGTGTCCAAAACCAACTACACCACGACCAACTCCACCAACCACACCCTTCACTTGCCGCCCAGGATCAAAAGACCCACGGTGTCCTCAACCTACTCCACCTCGTGAACCGACTTGCTATCCTGGCTCATCAGATCCAAGGTGTCCTCAGCCGACAACCCCGAAGCCCATTTTTCCACCAACCACACCCTTCACCTGCCGACCAGGATCCAAAGACCCACGGTGTCCTCAACCTACTACACCCCGTGAACCGACTTGTTATCCTGGATCCCTAGATCCAAGATGTCCTCGACCAACTACACCACGACCAACTCCACCAACCACACCCTTCACTTGCCGACCAGGATCCAAAGACCCACGATGTCCTCAACCTACTCCACCCCGTCCACCGACTTGCTATCCTGGATCTACGGATCCACGATGTCCTAAACCAACTACACCGCGACCAACTCCTCCAACCACACCCTTTACTTGCCGACCAGGATCCAAAGACCCACGGTGTCCTCAACCTACTCCACCCCGTCCACCGACTTGCTATCCTGGATCTACAGATCCACGATGTCCTAAACCAACTACACCGCGACCAACACCACCAACCACACCCTTCACTTGCCGACCAGGATCCAAAGATCCACGGTGTCCTCAACCTACTCCACCCCGTCCACCGACTTGCTATCCTGGATCTACGGATCCACGGTGTCCTAAACCAACTACACCACGACCAAGTCCACCAACCACACCCTTCACTTGCCGACCAGGATCCAAAGACCCACGGTGTCCTCAACCTACTCCACCCCGTCCACCGACTTGCTATCCTGGATCTACAGATCCACGATGTCCTAAACCAACTACACCACGACCAACTCCACCAACCACACCTTTCACCTGCCGACCAGGATCCAAAGACCCACGGTGTCCTCAACCTACTCCTCCCCGTCCACCGACTTGTTATCCTGGATCTACGGATCCACGGTGTCCTAAACCAACTACACCACGACCAACTCCACCAACCACACCTTTCACTTGCCGACCAGGATCCAAAGACCCACGGTGTCCTCAACCTACTCCACCCCGTCCACCGACTTGCTATCCTGGATCTACGGATTCACGATGTCCTAAACCAACTACACCACGACCAAGTCCACCAACCACACCCTTCACTTGCCGACCAGGATCCAAAGACCCACGGTGTCCTCAACCTACTCCACCCCGTCCACCGACTTGCTATCCTGGATCTACGGATCCAAGATGTCCTCGACCAACTACACCACGACCAACTCCACCAACCACACCTTTCACTTGCCGACCAGGATCCAAAGACCCACGGTGTCCTCAACCTACTCCACCCCGTCCACCGACTTGCTATCCTGGATCTACGGATCCACGGTGTCCTAAACCAACTACACCACGACCAACTCCACCAACCACACCTTTCACTTGCCGACCAGGATCCAAAGACCCACGGTGTCCTCAACCTACTCCACCCCGTCCACCGACTTGCTATCCTGGATCTACGGATCCACGATGTCCTAAACCAACTACACCACGACCAACACCACCAACCACACCCTTCACTTGTCGACCAGGATCCAAAGACCCACGGTGTCCTCAACCAACTACACCACGGCCACCGACTTGCTATCCTGGATCACTAGATCCAAGATGTCCTAAACCAACTACACCACGACCAACTCCACCAACCACACCCTTCACCTGCCGACCAGGATCCAAAGACCCACGGTGTCCTCAACCAACTACACCACGGCCACCGACTTGCTATCCTGGATCACTAGATCCAAGATGTCCTAAACCAACTACACCACGACCAACTCCACCAACCTCACCCTTCACCTGCCGACCAGGATCAAAAGACCCACGGTGTCCTCAACCTACTCCACCTCGTGAACCGACTTGCTATCCTGGCTCACTAGATCCAAGGTGTCCTAAACCAACTACACCACGACCAACTCTACCAACCACACCCTTCACCTGCCGACCAGGATCAAAAGACCCACGGTGTCCTCAACCTACTCCACCCCGTCCACCGACTTGCTATCCTGGATCTACGGATCCAAGGTGTCCTCAACCGACAACCCCGAAGCCCATTTTTCCACCAACCACGCCCTTCACCTGCCGACCAGGATCCAAAGACCCACGGTGTCCTCAACCAACTACACCACGGCCACCGACTTGCTATCCTGGATCACTAGATCCAAGATGTCCTAAACCAACTACACCACGACCAACTCCACCAACCACACCCTTCACCTGCCGACCAGGAACAAAAGACCCACGGTGTCCTCAACCTACTCCACCTCGTGAACCGACTTGCTATCCTGGCTCACTAGATCCAAGGTGTCCTAAACCTACTACACCACGACCAACTCGACCGACCACACCCTTCACCTGCCGACCAGGATCCAAAGACCCACGGTGTCCTCAACCTACTCCACCCCGTCCACCGACTTGCTATCCTGGATCTACAGATCCACGATGTCCTAAACCAACTACACCGCGACCAAGACCACCAACCACACCCTTCACTTGCCGACCAGGATCCAAAGACCCACGGTGTCCTCAACCTACTCCACCCCGTCCACCGACTTGCTATCCTGGATCTACGGATCCACGGTGTCCTAAACCAACTACACCACGACCAAGTCCACCAACCACACCCTTCACCTGCCGACCAGGATCCAAAGACCCACGGTGTCCTCAACCTACTCCACCCCGTCCACCGACTTGCTATCCTGGATCTACGGATCCAAGGTGTCCTAAACCGACTACACCACGACCAACTCTTCCAACCACACCCTTCACCTGCCGACCAGGATCCAAAGACCCACGGTGTCCTCAACCTACTTCACCCCGTCCACCGACTTGCTATCCTGGATCAGTGGATCCAAGGTGTCCTCAACCGACAACCCCTAAGCCCATTTTTCCACCAACCACACCCTTCACTTGCCGACCAGGATCCATAGACCCACGGTGTCCTCAACCTACTCCACCCCGTCCACCGACTTGCTATCCTGGATCTACGGATCCAAGGTGTCCTAAACCGACTACACCACGACCAACTCTTCCAACCACACCCTTCACCTGCCGACCAGGATCCAAAGACCCACGGTGTCCTCAACCTACTCCACCCCGTCCACCGACTTGCTATCCTGGATCAGTGGATCCAAGGTGTCCTCAACCGACAACCCCTAAGCCCATTTTTCCACCAACCACACCCTTCACTTGCCGACCAGGATCCAAAGACCCACGGTGTCCTCAACCTACTCCACCTCGTGAGCCGACTTGCTATCCTGGCTCACCGGATCCAAGGTGTCCTAAACCAACTACACCACGACCAACTCCACCGACCACACCTTTCACCTGCCGACCAGGATCCAAAGACCCACGGTGTCCTCAACCTACTCCACCCCGTCCACCGACTTGCTATCCTGGATCTACGGATCCAAGGTGTCCTAAACCAACTACACCACGACCAACTCCACCGACCACACCTTTCACTTGCCGACCAGGATCCAAAGACCCACGGTGTCCTCAGCCTACGCCTCCCCGTCCACCGACTTGCTATCCTGGATCACCGGATCCACGGTGTCCTAAACCAACTACACCACGACCAACTCCACCAACCACACCTTTCACCTGCCGACCAGGATCCAAAGACCCACGGTGTCCTCAACCTACTTCACCCCGTCCACCGACTTGCTATCCTGGATCACCGGATCCAAGGTGTCCTAAACCAACTACACCCCGTCCCCCGACTTGCTATCCTGGATCACCGGATCCAAGGTGTCCTCGACCAACTACACCACGACCAACTCCTCCACCAACCACACCCTTCACCTGCCGACCAGGATCCAAAGACCCACGGTGTCCTCAACCTACCACATTCCCCCCGACAATTCCAATTTCTTGTGGACCTGACTCTCGGGATCCTCGTTGTCCTCAACCGCCCGCTCCACCAACCTGCGGCCCGGGTTCCAAAGATCCCCGATGCAGGCCGTCGGACCCAGCCTGCCTTCCGGGTACTGGTGACCCTCGGTGCCCAGGTACACCTCCGCCAGATATATGTGGGCCTGATTCAACTGCTCCAGGATGTCCTCGGCCTGCGACTTCCACTGCGCCTCCGACAACTCAAATAGGCGACGGATCAGACAGTCGACCTGTCACCAGTAAGACGCCAGGAAAGGACCAAGACTTCCACGGAGAGGCAGACCCCAAGTATCATGCTTTCCATAGTTGTAAGTATTCGTTTTTTTTATATTGCTTTTGTTTAGTTTGGTTTTAATTGGGAATTATTAACAATTATAATTAATTGATGTTTATAAAAATGTTTGTCCTTTAATGTATTTAAGACAAAGAGAACCCTTGAGCTCTGAGTAACATTAACGATCGCCTGGGAAATAATATTATAGTAGAACCCTTAACTGTTGAAGAATATGATGTGTATGAAGCGACACATGTTGTTCCCCTTGGGTTCTGTTGGGTTCACTTGGGTTCCCTTGGGTCCCACTTGGGTCTCATTGGGTCCCCTTGGGTTCCCTTGGGTCCACTTGGGTCCCCTTGAGTCCCCTTGGGTTCCCTTGGGTTCCACTTGGGTCCCCTTGGGTTCCACTTGGGTCCCCTTGGGTTCCACTTGGGTTCCCTTGGGTTCCACTTGACAGATGGATTCATGGGACTAACCTCGAGCAGTCGTTTAACTTTTGTTCAGCTAATTTTTTTAATGGGGGTGTAGGGGGTGTGGGGAGTGGGTGTGTTGGGGAATGCTTATGTTTCTTACAGTTTTAACAGACGATTAATTTATGGCTGAATTTAGTCACGATCTTGTTATTTCCTTTGTGAGTTGTGAATTACTATTTTGCTTGACTTTACAACGTAAGTGTTGCTTCGTATTAGTTGAGTTATTGAATACTGCGAATTGAATTTTGTTCCAAGCAATTTGTTATTATGTTTTGCTGTTACTCACGTGAATTATTCATGATTTGAAATGGTTTATAATTCTCATGAACTTTAATTTAAAATTTAATTGTATATGCTTCTAACTGATACATTAACAATTGGGGTTTTTTCTGTATTAATTTAATCGATTTATAAAAATAAGGATGAATTCTGTAAAACACTTGGAACGTAAAGTGCAATGAAGATCATATATTACAATATTTACCACTACTTTAATCCTGATTTTTGTCATGATATCCTCTCTCTCTCTCTCTCTCTCTCTCTCTCTCTCTCTCTCTCTCTCTCTCTCTCTCTCTCTCTCTCTCTCTCAATAAAAGCCATCGATATATGTACTCGAACATCTAGTGGTACAAACAAAGGCCTGGCCAGAGCCTGGATAATGCCTCATAATGAGGACCCAAGCCTCATGGTGAGGTTCCCAAGCCTCATGGTGAGGTTCCAAGTCTCATGGTGTGGTCCCAAGCCTCATGATGAGGTCCCAAGCCTCATGGTGAGGTCCCAAGCCTCATGATGAGGTCTCAAGCCTCATGGTGAGGTCCCAAGCATAACACGTGGCTGGGAAGAGAAAGGTACCCACCATTCTTCTCTGGGTCAAGGCTGCCACTCGACCGGCAACACAATAAACAGCTCTTTCGCTTCGTGTAACAGGTGTACAGCATATATATATATATATATATATATATATATATATTTCTGTACCAGAAATATGTACAAAGAAACAAAAATTCGCTTAACCTAGGGACAGTGATTCTCATGTCCATATACATAAACGAACATATCTAGTGTTTATATTATTGCATAAGTGTGTTTTATTTGTAAATGTGTAACTTTTATGTTTTATTTATATGTATACAAGAGTTCTTACATTCTTGTGAAGCCACTAGCACACATAGCGTTTCCTTAATCTTATTTTTCTCTGGAATACGACCCGCTAAATCTTTTAACAATCTGGTACCCATTCACTGCTGGGTAAAGAGAGGCGTACATTTAAGGAGTGGCGTCTAGTCAATTCTCCCCGGCCAGGATACGAACCCAAGCCGAATCGCTCGTGAAGCGCGTATCTCAAGCGTACAAAAAAAATGCTTGCATTAAATGTGGGCAGAAGTCACGTACGAATGCACAGCTAACATCTCATAGGTGTTGACAGTGACCAGCCGGAGACTCATAGTCTCTGGTGAGTTTCTTCACTATGTTGTTTAAGATTCAGCTACTGGGAACAAAATGTTTTAAGTAGCACGGGCTATAGTGAGCCCGTAGAGGACTTACCTGGCACAGGAGCGGGGCTGTAACTATTCTTCTCTAGCTCGGAGCACCATTTATTTGGTTTTTGGTGTCCCGGTGTTCGGGTTTTGCTCCAGTGAATATGACCTACAAGGAGGATAATTATTTCGTTGGTGAGAGCTGAGGGGGACTTTGGATAGGACGCTCTCTTGACAAGTTTTAATGGCGTGTAATTTGTAAATATACATAACAGGAATATTGTATTATTTTCATGCATTTAATGTCTTATTAAAAAACAAAGTAGGAGCGAATAATAGATAGACGAGTAGGTAATTCATTTCCTTGCAATGCGTTGGTGATCACATTCGTTCCTCAGTTACAGAGCTTGTCGGGAGAATCACTTCACTCACATGTATTGTAATGAATTATTGCTAGTTCACGTGAACATATTATTGAGGGAATATAGAGAACTACGGCTCATCTGGGGCGTCTGTTAATAACTTTCTGTACTCTAAAGTTTGCTTCTATGATGTTCCCTGGTAACTTGTTCTGTATATATACACAACACTTTCCGAACAATTGTTTTCCTGTATATTTTTTATAAATATTTACTTATCCAACGTTAATCCATTGTTTCGTATCCAAACTTGGCTTGATGCTTTTAATACGCTGTTTATTCCTCCTTTGGTAAATCTTTTATTGCCCATTTGTGTACTTAAGTCATGTTCCTCCTTGAGCTGCGTCTTTCTTGAAGGTGAAAATTTTGCTTTCTGAGTCTCTCTTCACGGGGAGGAGAATCTGAACTCTTGAGATTATCTTTGTTATACTCCATGAATACTTTCCACATAATTTACATTTATTCAACAATACGGTTTCTGCATAGTCCAAGTTGGGTCTCGTAAGGGTCAGATCATCACGTTATTTCCTCCTGTTACCGGTGATTATATATCTCTTCAAGGGGCCCTTACATTAATCTTCATATCTTCTTATTCGTCTCTTAATAAATGGGCAATTTTATTCTCGACAGATCTGTACCTACCGCCTCCTCGACCCAGAAGCCATGCTCACCGGGGACGACGAGAGGTTGCTGCTGCTGCTGCTGGGGAGACAATGATGGTGAGCCTCGGGGTGCAACAGCTGGTGACCGCCCCATCTTCTCCCGCTCAAAACATCATCGTCGACACTGAAGGGGACAACCTCTTGCTCGAGATCACCGACTCCGGCCGCGTTGTGTTGCCGCTTCGAGAGGCTCGTCCGCTCATCGAAGAGGCCAAGTTGGACTACAGAACATCGCTGGCCAAGGCGTTGGTGAAAGACAAGTATGCGTCCGTCGAAAAGGCTGTGCTCCGGGAGCCTAAATATTCTTACTTGAGGTCAGCTGAAGATGACTCGTCATCGCCACTGTCCGGAACGGGCGCGCTCCTACTGTCGCTGATGTCTATGGGTGTCGTCGTGGGATTCGTCGCTGTCGTCCGCGCCTTGAAGTGGCCGCGACAAGAGAAGGACACCACAACCTCGACAGCTTAAAAATATATTGGCAAGCATTGAGCAAGCATGTTGCAAGTTTGGAATTATATGCCAAATTGCATGCAGATATAATGTAAACCCAAATTATAATCAAAATGGGACTGCAGAGCACCGATGGGTCATATTGGGTTATGTCATAGGTGAAGAAATTGAAATTCAATTGTGAAATACTCATCTTTTTTTTTTTTTACTGTATGGTAATAACACAATACGATTTCTCTGAGCTGGCTCAGGGATGCTATCTTGTTTAAACTATACCTGTCACGAATTAGGTAACTCTGCTGTTCTAACAAATAAGACATTAAAATCAAACTGAACACTTATTCGCGTTTGAAATGCGAAATTCCTCACCCACTGGTCAATGTGGACCACACGACTTAATATCAATTAGAGGAGTCTGTGGGCTGTTTATATATACTAATTAATGTATTGGAATAAAAAGCGTATATCTTATCTGCCCAACAATTAACCCCTATTCACAGCTTGATCCTCTTTAAGGACGGTCACAGCGTCAACCACAGTCTTGCCATAACCTAGGTCAAAGTTGAGCATGGCTTCCTTCACTACAGCCGGCTGTTGTAAGGTGTATTGCTGTGTTGGTAATACTTGGGACGTGAAAGTAGCGAGAGCAGTATTATTGTGAATCCCGACCAATCATCTCTATACCAGAGTCTTTCTTTGAATGTTGCGTTTAATTTATGTAGAAACTGAAGTGTGTGGGATAGTTCTTGGAGTGAGGGGACGTTCACTATGGGTTGCCAGGGTTACTTACATGTTAATGGTCATTGTTCTCGTAGACAGGTGCTTTGGGCTAAGTTATTCCAGACTGACATGAGGGTTTAATATAATCAGTCGAAATGACAAATGATCCATGATGAGTATTGAAGATTTCCTCGATGAATAGTGATTCATGAAGTCATTATAAATAATTATCAGCACATTTACTACCCCTGCGATATTGTGGTTAACATCTTAGTGTTTAAGCGGGACATAGGGAGGGAGGGGTTGCCAGTTGTATGTAAATTGGATTTTATCAGTTTTAACTCCAAACAAGTGTCAATAACCTCAGCTGAGCTGAACCTTTATAGGGTTTATATTTATGGTTGTATACAACAACCATAAAACCCTGACGCACAAGGTCGGTCATGCACAGGAAGCTGTTATAGGACCCGTAAGGACAAGATCAACCTGACACAGTTCCCTGGAAACACAAACCGAAACTGTCACTATTTTCCGCTTGTTACAACTTATAATAAAGTTGTTACATCTTGGCTTAACGTGTTTATGACGTATTAGAACGTTGTTAAAACTTGCTATATTGGTTGTTATAACTGGTTAGGTGGTGTTAAAACTTGTTCGAACGTTGTACCAACGTCGTAGTTTCGGTATGTGTTTGGCGGGTTCAGCTCAGCTGAGGTTTCCGACAACACCACTTCAAGACTAACTAAGCCAGTTCTACTTTCAAATAAGCTAGAGAATGTCCGTAAAATAATAGGTATTGAAGCCCTTGGCGTTGCAACTCGCACCAAGAGGAAGTTATGGTGTGTTGTTGTATCCTAAGGTGGAGTGTCTTGGGTGGAGTGACTTGGGTGGAGAGTGTCTTAGGTGGAGAGTGTCTTGGGTGGAGTGACTTGGGTGGAGAGTGTCTTAGGTGGAGAGTGTCTTGGGTGGAGAGTGTCTTGGGTGGAGAGTGTCTTGGGTGAAGTGTCTTGGGTGGAGAGTGTCTTGGGTGGAGAGTGTCTTGGGTGGAGAGTGTCTTAGGTGGAGAGTGTTATGGGTGGAGAGTGTCTTGGGTGAAGTGTCTTGGGTGGAGTGTTGGGGGAAAGGGTGGGGGGGCCTAAATGAAGCTACTAATAAAGATTTTTTCAGAATTTTCTTGGTTTTACTCTTATTCCTACTACTCATAGCCTTATAAATATATATATATATATATATATATATATATATATATATATATATATATATATATATATATATATATATATATATATATATATATGCAAACAAGCCTGAATGGTCCCCAGGACTATATACAACTGAAAACTCACACCCCAGAAGTGACTCGAACCCATACTCCCACAACTCGTGATGGTCAAGCGGATTAAGGCGTCCCTGTACATACCAGTTGTGGGAGTATGGGTTCGAGTCACTTCTGGGTGTGAGTTTTCAGTTATATATATATATATATATATATATATATATATATATATATATATATATATATATATATATATATATATATATGCGGAAAATCCACAGAGAAATATGAAATGAGGTGAACGTTTCGGCTCTGTTAAAGCCTTTGTCAACACCAGACTGACTCATCAGTCAGTCTGGTGTTGACAAAGGCTTTAACAAAGCCGAAACGTTCACCTCATTTCATATTTCTCTGTGGATTTTCCGCATAAAATGATCAGTGTTTTGTGATCGTCAATTGCATATATATATATATATATATATATATATATATATATATATATATATATATATATATATATATATATATATATATATATATATATATATATATATATATATATATAAACAAATGCTCCTTATTACGAGTCAGAGATTAATTTTCAGTTTGAAAGAAAGAGTCTAATTTATGTCAATTACAATATATTTTGCATCATAACTACCCAGTCTATCTATCAATAACCTTACTCATAGATGACTGCTCATATATAATTAACTTAGCTTGACAATGAACATTATATTAAAACATTATATATGACGATAAAAAACAGCACAACTCATTTTGACGGGATGCCGAATATATGAGAGAAAAAAACAAGAACAGTAATTATTATGGCAATTCTAACGACATTAAGTCACATAATTTATAAACATCTGACATAACATACAACAAAGTTAAGAGCCATCCTCCCTAGTGAAATGTCAGCACTGTGAAGGAATGCCCGACAGACCACGGGAACATTATTCAACACAGTACACAGTTACCAACCCAATACGATTTCAACTTAGATTCAACAGATCAGAAGAAATTGTTAAACACATGGGGGGCAAAAATCTTACTGAAGCGACCATACGAGTCATAAATACTCATACTCCTCCTCAGTAAAGCAGAAATAGGTAAAAAGTAACACTTAGTGGGCCAGCCAGAGGCTTAGAGCCTACGTAGGAATATCACTGAAATAAAATAAAAATCTCTCTATTAAAGGCCAGCAGCTGTTTCCGGTTATGGAGCTTTATTTTAGGGTATGAAATAAAAAAAATCACATTTCTTAGACTGGGTAATGACACATTGGCAAAGAAAGAAAAAATAATATCATAAAATTTGAAAGCTAAGACTCGGAATAACTATAATAAAAAAATATAGAAATTTTCAAATTCTTTGAGTATCATGAAGCAAATAACATTAACAATATAGTTGTAAGAAAATAGTCATGCACTTCGAGGTCACTATTGTTGTGGCTATGTCACTGGAGCCGTAACTACGAGGTCACTGGAGCCGTAACTACGAGGTCACTGGAGCCGTAACTACGAGGTCACTGGAGCCGTAACTACGAGGTCACTGGAGCCGTAACTACGAGGTCACTGGAGCCGTAACTATAAGGTCACTGGAGCCGTAACTATAAGGTCACTGGAGCCGTAACTATAAGGTCACTGGAGCTGTAACTATAAGGTCACTGGAGCTGTAACTATAAGGTCACTGGAGCCGTAACTATAAGGTCACTGGAGCCGTAACTATAAGGTCACTGGAGCTGTAACTATAAGGTCACTGGAGCCGTAACTATAAGGTCACTGGAGCTGTAACTATAAGGTCACTGGAGCCGTAACTATAAGGTCACTGGAGCCGTAACTATAAAACCTAACCATCTTACAAATTACATCTGAATTTAGGCGTTTGCTCGTATGGTTTCAAAAGATTTCAAAACGTCATGAAAACCTTTAATTGAAAGTTTTCTCTCCTAACCTAACAGACTAAGCCAGAGAACCCAAAACAGAAAACGGGACAGTACGTCACTTTCGTGAGCCGATTTCATTTCAAATTAGGCCATTTTTGGTCATAGTGCGCATACGAGCGAATAGCAACGTTATTTTAAAAGGGCGGTTGAATTATAAGGCCAATGGAGCCGTAACTATAAGAACATAAAAATGAAGGTAACTGCAGAAGGCTTATTGGCCCATACGAGGCAGCTCCTATTTATATCCACCCAATCTCATTCATATATATATGTCTAACCTACGCTTGAAACAATCAAGGGATCCTACTTCTATTATGTTACACGGTAATTGGTTCCACATATCTACAACCCTGCTACCTATAACAGGGTTGTTATAGGTCGCTGGAGCCGTAACTACAAGGTCACTGGAACCGTAACTACGACGTCCCTTGAGCCGTAACTACGACGTCCCTTGAGCCGTAACTACGACGTCACTTGAGCCGTAACTACGACGTCACTTGAGCCGTAACTACGACGTCACTTGAGCCGTAACTACGACGTAACTTGAGCCATAACTACGACGTCACTTGAGCCGTAACTACGACGTAACTGGAACTTGAGAACCATTGGTAACAACTTCCAAACCATCGAGACAGATCAAACAAACCTTCTGTTAATTAACAAAGTTGTGAGATGGAAGGTTCTGGCAGCAAACCTGCTGTTAATTAACAAAGTTGTGAGATGGAAGGTTCTGGCAGCAAACCTGCTGTTAATTAACAAAGTTGTGAGATGGAAGGTTCTGGCAGCAAACCTGCTGTTAATTAACAAAGTTGTGAGATGGAAGGTTCTGGCAGCAAACCTGCTGTTAATTAACAAAGTTGTGAGATGGAAGGTTCTGGCAGCAAACCTCTCATATTGACCCCGAGAACCAAATTATAGACTATACTAAACAGCAAAAATAATCCAGCAACCCAACCATTTGGGCTGTGGACGGTAAAGAGCGAGGGGGTCTCGCTTCATGCATGTCGGCGTTCAATCCCCGACCGTCCAAGTGGTTGGACACCATTCTTTCCGTCCCCCGTCCCATTCCAAATCCGTATTCTGATCCCTTCCAATGGCTACAAAGTCGTAACGGCTTGGCGCTATCTCCTGATAGTTTCTTTCCCCATAGTAACGCATAACTCATATTAAAATAACAATTTAAACTACTACTATTATCCTGTCTAACTAGGATAAAAAAACTTAATGTATATTTATATTTTCTTGAGGTAATACTGTTTTCATTACATTGAAGGATAACTATTGTAACCTGTCCCCTGATTATGCTCGTCGTAGCTGTGGCTCGTCGTAGCTGTGGCTCGTCGTAGCTGTGGCTCGTCGTAGCTGTGGCTTGTCGTAGCTGTGGCTCGTCGTAG